AATCGACTCAATGGCAATGGATTTGTGTTTGTGTTTTTGTTTTGTTTTATGTACAATATATATTCCAGGTAAAATAAACATCTAAAGGTAAAAACAAACAAAAAAGAACTACAGACATAGTAAAAGAACATTAAGTTCATTTTTATAACCCCAAGGGTGGTGGGGAGAGACTTCTTGTGCAAGACAAGAAACTCAAAGCCCATAAAGGAAAACACCACCAGATCTGACAATGTAACAGGATATGGAATGGGACTTGTTCCTGTGTCTTAGAATTTCCACTAGAACTTCCAGGTTGGGGACAATGAATGATAAATATTCTCAATACTAAAGGGAAGGATGAGAAACATCTCAACAGCCTGACCAAGAGCAAGTCCCCTGATTATCAGTCAGTCACCCTCCTCCAGCCCCTATAAAAAACAATGCTGGAGATCCATTAGGCAAGAGATTTCCTTGAAGAGGATTCTCAGAAATAGGGATCCTTCTCTTGGGGAAAGGAAGGGAGGTATTTTCCCCATCTCCAACCAAGCCAGGGAGGTGCCAAGAGAATCTTGCATAGAAATTAGGTTGTCTTCTGTTGGGATTCTGACGTCTCTCACTCCCTGGCTGTGACTTGCTGAGTGGCAGAAACCTGTAGGCTTTCACGGTGTCAGTCCTGGAATGTGACCGTGTAAGGGCTTGACAGATGTCCCTGGGTATCTGGGGACCTACCCGAAGGCAGACACTGGTACCTGCCTTTTGCCCAGAGAAGCCCAAATGCTAAAAGGCAGCTGGAACTGCCCCACGGTGAGGGGGTCTGCCTTCCCCGTGCAGGGTTTAGCAGCAAGGATGTGGGCTGGACTCATATCATCCTGAAGGGACTCTGTGCCAGAGAGCTGCCTGCTGGGCAAAAGGGAGTCCAGAACGGATTGTGGAGAGCAGGAGCAAGTGGCCAAGAGTGTGGTGGGATGGAAAGGGAGAATGTGAGAGTTCAGCCAGAGGGCATACTACCTGTGTCAGGAAATGATGCAAGGTGGATGTCCATGGGGAGATTCTGATGAACACACTAATGCACCCCCACAAAAGAGCCAGCAGTGGACTATCTGCTGTGGTTGGGATATGTGAGCGCCAACAGAGAACCACAAATGGCCTACCTTTGTAAACAGGTCTAGGTCTTTGCCTTTTTCGCTTTGACTCTCCCTGCCTCTGCCATAACCTTAGAGGAGCCAGAAATAGGGGCGAGAGGAGGTAGACTAAGAAGAGTGAGGAAACAGAATCATGCCCTCATTTCACCACTGCTGGTCCCCAAGCTTTAGGGGATCAAGCCCAAGCTAGAAAGTGGGTAAATTTTTAAATTTAGGCTGGACTGAAATTTTTAATACCTGAAAGTGATCAGAAAGTTATGGACTATTCCCATGGTGCTGTGATAAGTGAGGAAAGGGAGAGGGCAGTGGAGAAAAAAAAACAAAACAAAAGAAAACCTAATCTCTGATTGGTGTAAGCCACCAACATTTGCTTATTCAATGAACTAGTTATAATTACCGTAAATTTATTTTTTCCTGTATATCAAAGGACACTGTAAATACAACCACAAGAAAAAAAATATTGATAACACATATGATGGCGTTGATATCCTTAATATACAAAGAGCTCCTAGAAATTAATAAGAAAAACAACTTAGAAAAATAGGCAAAGGATAAGAATAGGCAATTCAAGTAGGAGGAAACACCAATAGACAACAAACATGAAAAGCTGCTCCATTTCAATGCTTGCAAAAATGAAAATCAAGACAGTAATGAGATAAGATTTTCACCTGACAAATTAACAAAAATTTAAAAGATCAATGATAGTCAGTGCTGGTGAAAATATGGGAAAGCAGGTATGCTCATATAATGCTCATGGCAGGATAAGTTGCTACAACTTTTTGGAAAGATATTTTTCAGGATCTATTAAAATTTAATGAAGGCGTAGTCTTTAACTTAGCAATCCCACTTTTAAGAATGTATCCAACTGAAATAAGAACAACAAGATGAAAAAATATATATAGCGAGGTATATTGCTTGCTATACAAAAAAAGGAACATCTTGGAAATAACAAATGTTGGAGAGGCTGCAGGGAGATCGGAACTCTTATGCACTGCTGGTGGGAATGCATAATGATACAACTATTTTGGAAAATGATATGGTGCTTCCTTAGAAAGCTAGAAATAGAAATACCATAGGATCCAGCAATCCCACTCCTAGGAATATATCCTGGAGAAATTAGAGCTGCCACTCGAATAGACATATGCACACCCATGTTCATGGCAGCATTGTTCACAATAGCAAAAAGATGGAAACAACATAGATGCCCATCAACAGATGAATGGATAAACAAAGTATGGTACATACACACAATGGAGTACTATGCAACGATAAAGAACAATGATGAGTCTGTGAAGCATCTCATAACATGGATGAAACTAGAGGACATTATGCTGAGAGAAATAAGTCAATCACAAAAGGACAAATATTGTATGAAACCTCTGTTGTAAAAACTCATGAAAAAGTTTACACACAAAAAGTAACAATCTTTGTTGGTTACGAGGGGTGGGAGGGGTGGGGAGAATATACTAAATAGACAATAGATAAGTGGTATCTTTGGTGAAGGGTGAGACAGTACACAATACTGGGGAAGCCAGCACAATTTGTACAAGGAAAGGTCATGGAAGCCCCATAGACACATCCAAACTCCCTGAGGGACTGAATTGCTGGGCGGAGGGTTATAGGGACCATGGTCTTGGGGAACATCTAGCTCAATTGGCATAACACAGTTTATAAAGACAATGTTCTACATTCTATCTTGGTGAGTAGCGTCTGGGGTCTTAAAAGCCTGTGAGAAGCCATCTAAGATACTCCACTGGTCTCACCCCTTCAGGAGCAAGGGAGAATGAAGAGAACAGGATACAAGGAAAAGATTAATCCGAAGGACTAATGGACCACAGCTACCAAGGCCTCCACCAGACTGAGTCCAGTACAGCTAGATGGTGCCCGGCTACCACCACTGACTGCTCTGACCAGGATCACAGCAGAGGGTTCTGGACAGAGCTGGAGAAGGATGTAGAACAAAATTCTAACACACACAAAAAAGACCAGATTTACTGGCCTGAAAGAGACTGGAGAAACCCTGAGAGTATGGCCCCCAGACACCCTTTTAGCTCAGTGGTGAAGTCACTTCTGAGGTTCGCCATTCAGCCAGGGATTGGACAGCCCCATAAAACAAAATGGGACTAATGCGGCACAGCAGTCCAGGGACAAGGACTAGCAGGCAGAAGGGGACAGGAAAGCCGGTGATAGGGAACCCAAGGTTGAGTAAGGACAGTGTTGACATGTAGTGTGGTTGTTAACCATTGTCATAGGTTATTTTGTTCAGTAAACCTTCATCTAAAGTGAGAATAGCAGCACAACAGGAAGAACGTAATCGATGTCACTGAGCTGTGCATGTAGAAATTTTTGAAATGGTGTATCTTTGATCTTTGGCTATGTATATTTTCACCACCAAAAAAAAAAAAGAAGGTTGAGAAGGGAGAGGGTTGACATGTCGTGGGGTTGTTAACCAATGTCATAAAACAATATGTGTACTGACTGTTTAATGAGAAACTATTTGTTCTGTAAACCTTCACCTAAAGTACAATTAAAAAAAAAAAAGGAATATCTTGAATGTCCATCATTAGCAGAACATTTAATAAATCACAGTACATCCATACAATGGAATGTATGCTGTTATTAGATCTGTGTGTATTGATTTGGAGAAATGTACACGAAACATTGTTAAGGAAAAGCAAGTTGCAGAGTGATCTATATAACATGATCTCATTTTTTTGAATGGGAAGGAAAGAAAGAAAATGAAAAGAAAAAATTATGTAAGAGAGAGAAAGGAGACGGGAGCAAGAGAGAGTGTTAAAAGAAGTTAGAAGTATGCAAGCATACACGTCAGTATTACTGTTAGCTATCTCGTTGATAGTAGGATAGGAGAAGAGCATTATTTATTCTTTACACAGTGCTATATCGTTTGACTCACTGTAATGCTTTCAAAAAACCAGGCAGTCTACCTTATGTAATTAAAAAAAAAAAAAAATCCCACCAAGTAATACAAAGGGAAAAAGGAAAAATGATCCATTGTTTTGGGTTAAAGTGTTGTTGCCTCCTAGGGGTAGGGGTCATTTCTTACATTGGGCATAGAGCAAGCACTCACTAAAATTTTTCCAGTAACTGACTTTGAGTCGTTTGCTGCCTTTCTCTGGGTCTCATCTAAAAAATGAAGATATTAAACAAGATGATCTTTCAGATCCTTCCAAAATTATAAATTCCAATAATAAGTCATTTGTGTGAAGAAAATTTTCTCTTGGGGCATATTTCTAAGGCAGTAGAACCTGGTCAGTGGTGTGTGTTGGGGGCTAGGGGTGGAGAGAGGGTGGCATGAAGAGTTCCTGCTGGGTATGCTGAATTTATGAGAGAGAAAGACGCATGACCCATATGAGTATCATGATTTTGCTTTCAAATGATCAAATCAAGGCACAGTGGAAGTCTGTCCAATAGGATTTAGCATTTTCCTTTTCTTCTCTTTAGTAAGCTTGGCATCAAAAAGAGAAGAGGTGGTATAGGGGACAGAGCACTGGACAGAACATTGGACAGAATCACCCAGGCTGACCCCCCAGAGACTGTTCTACATCAGCCTTCTCATCTTCCCTCAGGAACTGTCTGCCACTCTTGGAGAACTCAAGAGTCTTCAGCTCCAAAGGAAAGAACAACATCCCCACCCAAGCCATCGTCTCAGCTGCCTGGAGCAGCTTCCAGGGATTCCCTGGTCATTCCAGCCCAGGCCTGTGTGAGATAGACCAGGCATGGGGAGGAGTCTTAACACCTTGCCTCCCATTGCTGTCTTTGGCTGTATCTTACCACCAGAGTGCTTCTCCACTTTGCGCAGTCCCCTCCCCACTTGCTGTCCTACAACCCTAGGAAAGAGACAGAGATGGAGACACTGACCGCGAACCAAGAGGCGAACACGTGACTTGGAGGTTCCATCTAGGTCCGCCATCAGTTGAACAGCGCACTCGTAAGTACCATTGTCCTCCATGGTTAGCTGGCTGATGGTGATGGAGGCGTCTGACTGCTCAGCATTGCTTGAGATGCTGACGCGGTTCTCATAACGGCTACCATAGATGTACTTTTTGTCAGAAAATGTCCAGGTGGTCACCTTTTCCTAAGAGGAGAAGAAATACCAGTTGGTGTTTACCCCGAGGTCCTGGCAGGTTGCTTCCAGCCTGTCCTGACTACCCTCATCCACCACTCCCAGAGCCCAGAAACATCCACCGACACACCAAGCCCTCAGAACAAGCTAACAGCCCCAACACATGATACCCATCTTGTGGATTCCTCTTAGTTTTAAATATTTTTAAAAATGAAAATATTGAAATACTAGGGCAGGTAGGCATTTTACATGGCAGGAGCACATGTGGATAAGTGGGGCTGTCTCAGATAATAAAATGGAATGCTTTATGCAAATATGTAAAAAAGAATGAGATAGATACAAGTGGGCTGATATATGGAAAGAGCTCCAAGATATAGTGTTAAGAGAGAAAAAGTCAGGTGCAGAACAGTGTGTAGGTAGCATGTGCAAACACACATATTCATATATGTTTACATATGTACATATAAATATGTATACATTTGTATATGCACGGCACATCTTTGGAAGGCTACCTAAGAAACTGGTAAGAGTGGTTGCCTTTGTGAGGGGAACAGGGGGCTGGGAGTCTGGGATATGAGGTAGAGGTATTTTCACTATGCACACCTTTGTGCTGTTTGAATCTCTTGCCATATACGTGCATTACTTAAACGCACATGTAAGGAAACAGGCACTCTTGTACATAGCCGTGGGAGTTCACATGCTCCCCTATGGAGGGCAATTTGGTAAGCTCTATAAAAACTAGAAAAGAATTTATCTCTTGTGGAAATGTGTCCTACAGGTATAAATACACACATACGTACAGGGTTGTTCTTGATATTCTTGTAATAGGAGATTGGAAACAAGCAAGTGTCCATCACTAAGGGACTGGTAAAGAATAATGGTGTATCCACACAATGGAATCCTATCAGCTCTAAAAAGAAGGAGGAAGCTCTCTGTTTACTGATATGGAAAGATTTCTAGGAATTACTGTTCAGGGAAAAATGCAAGGGACAGAACAGCACCTAGAACATGCTACCTTTTATGTAAAAAGAGGGGAAAATAGGAAAACACATATATATTCACATTTTCTTGAATTTGCATAAAGAATCACTGGAAGATTACACAAGAAACTAATAAAATTGATTCCTTTAGCCAAGAGTGATATACAAAATAATTATTGTAGCAGAGATACCAACCAATCAGAATAGACTCTGGCCCAGAGCAACCAAACCGCTGCCACTGAGTCAATTTCAACTCACAGTGACTGCACATGTGTCAGTAGAACTGTGCTCCATAGGGCTTTCAATGGTTGATTTCTCAGAAGTAGATCGCCAGGCCTTTCCTCTGAGGCACCCCACGGTGGGTTTGAACCACCAACCTTTCAGTTAGTAGTTAAGCTCTTAATCGTTTGTGTCACCCAGAGACTACACAAAAGCAACCAGCACCAGTGAAAATCTAGGTTCCTAGATTTTCAACAGCAATCAGTGAAAATCTTCTGGTGGGGTGAGAGGAGGGGTAAAGGGAAGAGAGGTCGTGGGAGGGGTGGTGAGACAGGAGGGGCAGGATGGAAATGAGGTTTCCCAACGTACACTTTTTATGATGTTTTAATTTTTGCACCAGGGGATTATGTTATCAATTCAAAAACAGAAATAAAAAATAAAATCTCTCCTACACCTCCCAAAAGAACCCAAAAAGGAAAAATAAAATACCAAGTCTATAAAATAAAATTTGGTCTCAGGGAGACAGCTATGCTAATCAGAAGAAATGACTTTAAATGATTTAAATGGTACAATTTAAAACATATGAGACTGGCTAACAGAAAGATATATTAGGGCAGGTGACTTTCCTGCCACCCCTCAAAACAAAGGTGACATAATCGAGCCTTCCCTGGGTCCAACATTTATTGATGCATGAAATTTCTGCTCCCTCCCCATTCAATCCATCCCAGCCTGGGTGCTAACATTCACTCTACCTAATATTTATTGAAAGCCATTGCAGTGTTTCCCCAAGAGGTAATGTTGTTATTAGTTGCCGTCCAGTTGACTCCAACTCATGGTGACCCTGTGTGTGCAGAGTAGAATTGCTCCATAGGGTTTTCAAGGTTGGGACCTTTTGGAAGCAGATCACCAGGCCTGTCTTCCAAGGTGCCTCTGGGTGGGTTCAAACTGCCAACCTTTTGGCTAGTAGTCGAGTGCTTAACCATTTGCACCACCCAGGGACTCCTCGAAGAGGTAATAGTCAGGTGATAATAATTCCCCAAATGCCCCCAAACTGTTAAAGATCCTTACCGAATGAGTCATTAGCAGCTTATCCCATTGAATAAATCCATTTCGGTCAGTGGCAGAAGTTCGGTATGTGCAGGGGAGCGTGACATTTTCTCCCCGGGCGGCCTGAAGAGCCTGTTCGGGTGTTTCCACAGAGATGGCATTGACAGTCACCCAGACTGGAAAGAAAGCAGGAAGTGGGAGGAAGAAGTAGATGATAAGTCATACCCACTCATTGCCTAAGGAACCTCTATGGGACTCCCTAGAAACGTGCTTGCTTCTCCAAACATAGCTACATATCACCCGCTACAACAGTGATCTTGGCCATGGCACACCAGCCGTTCTCCTCCAAGAGGGAGGAAGACAAATACGTGTACCTTGGTCTCCCCCATCTCCCTCCCTCAGCATCACAAAACAAATTACAATCATGAGTGGCTTAACGTCCACGATACGTTCTGTGCAGGGTTTCAAACAGGAACAAACCAGTTCCAAGCCCTGTGCATGACTCTCCAGCCTGCTGCCTGACATACAGATTTTGGACTTGTCAGCTCCCCACATTTGTGTGAGCCAATTCCTTGGGGTGAACTTCCTTCTCTCTCTTTCTCTCTCTATATCTATCACTGGTTTTATTTCTCTAGAGAACCCTGACTAAGACAGCTGGTAACTGCATAGAAACAACACCCCATGTTTGCCAGCACTTCACAGTTCTCAGGTGACTCATCCTTGTCACAGGTGAACTTCTGCCAAATGAAACAGGCTAGGTGGGCTGGATCCAGGACTTTGCACGTTGCCTTCGCAGGAGGGCAATATTCTCCAGTGAACCATTCTACCACCCGTTCTTTTCCTCTCCCAACTCTCCCTTTCCCAGAATTCAGAAGTGTCCCTGTGATACTTTGATTCCCCTGTCTGTACCACTCCATACTTACTGAACAAGCTCCAATATTGCCATTCTCGGAAGTAGCATTGCATAGAGTTCAAGTGCACAGGCTCTGGAGCCAGAAAGCCTCAGCTGGGTTTCTAGTTCCTTTATTTATAACTTCGAGCAATTGACTTAAACTCTTCGTGCCACAGATACCTCACTTGGAAAATGCATTGTATAAGGATTAAATGACATGAAATATTTGTTTAGAATGGTTCCTAATCCACAATAAGTGCTCAATAAATGATTAAAAAAAGAAGCCAAACCCGTTGCCATCGAGTCGATTCCGACTCATAGTGACCCTATAGGACAGGGTGGAACTGCCCCACAGGGTTTCCAAGGAGCACCTGGTGGATTCAAACTACCGACCTTTTGATGATAGTTACTATTATACCTATCTTTTCATACTGAACCACTTCTACTTCCTCCTTCCATAGTCTGTTGTTAAGGTACATCCTTGGTAGAAGTTAATCATAAGCGACAACCACCCACCATCACCATGGGTGAGCTGTCAAAAAGGAATAGTAATTGCTAACATTGCAATTAAAGAATACATCACTTTCGGAGATCATTATAACTGTGAGTTAAAATCATCTTATGTTAATAGATTTATGAGGGAAGAGATTGAAATGAATGGATGATATAGACAAGCCTTGCACAAATGTAGAGCCCCATTTACACGTTATTTGGAAACCTGAGAAGAATCTTAAAAGATTGATTCTGTGCCCTGAGGCACACTTACATTTCCTATAATCTTAGATGTGAATTTATCCTGTATTTAAGAACTTCTTGCCAACTATCATCACTGGGAATCTTCTATTTTGTGCCGTCAAGTCAATTCTGATTTATAGCAACCCCACGTGTGCAGAGTAGAACTGCTCCATCGGGTTTTCAAGCCTGTGTGACCTTTTGGAGTCTGATGTCTTTGGTTGGGTTGAACTGCCAACCTTTTGACTAGTAATGGAGTGCTTAACCATTTGCGCCACTCAGCGACTCCTGGAGTCTTCCTTGTTGTTTTTGTTGTTGTTAGGTGCCATTGAGTTGATTCTAACTCGTAGCGATCCCATGTGACAGAGTAGAACTGTCCTATAGGGTTTTCTAGTCCATAATCTTTACAGGAGCAGATTGTCACGCCTTTCTCTCATGGAGTTGCTGGGTGGGTTCTACCCACCAAACTTTCAGATAGTTGCCGAACACTTAACTGTTGTACCATCAGGGCTCCTTTCAGGGGCAGATTACCCAGTAAGCAAGGTAAGCGCATGCTTACGGCATCAACAAAACAGGGGCATCAGTTGTCCAAAGCAAAGACCCATAGATGCCAAGCAGACAGGACACAAGGAAAAGCAAGCATACAACAACGATTCAAGAAAGACTCGATTCATTATCCTTGTTATGTACAGAAGTATATATTGTTCAGCAGCTTGTGACAAACTCATTGAAAAATTTTAAGAGTAAAGATAGAAAGAAGTGTTTTAACTATAACGTTTGAGATAAAACATCCATCTAAAAATAGGACATAGTAATTTGTTGTAACACATGTTTTCTGATCATTAAATTTTCTTTTATGACATCTTTTCATTTGTTCATTTATAATTATAGCATTTATTATGAAACAAGCATCAAAATTGCCATCTAAAGCAAAACTGGTGAAAGTCAATTTTTTTTCGTTGTGGGAAATCAACAGAATTTTACACTGTTGAATCAACTAAGCTCACTGACTCATTTTCTTTGTTGTAGAATATGTGGAATATTCTTTTTGTAGAACATGTGGTATATAGTAAAAATCTTAGTACCCCACATATACTAAAATTTTTCTAATCCAGTTCCTCTCGTTCTGCTAAAATGGCATATGTCACTTTTGCATATAGTCACTAATACAGCCACATTTTAAAAGAAGTTACATCATGGATAGCTAAGACGCACACATACACACATGTGTATATATATGTATGTAAAACTTACATTTCCCTTTCAAATGTGTGAGTAAGTAGAGGAGGGAGTACTACAGATAATCAGTGTTTGGGGTCCTCACATGTCTTGATCCAGCCCTAGCTCCTCAGATTCTTCATATGAAAAACACCCAAACCCATTGTTGTCGAGTCAATTCGGATCTACAGTAACCCTGTAGGACAGAGTAGAACTGCCTCATAGGGTTTCAAGGCTGTAATCCATACAGAAGCAGACTGCCACAGCTTTCTCCCATGGAGCAGCTTTTGATTAGCTGCCAAGTGTTTAACCACTGCACTCCCAGCACTCCTGGACTCTTCTATAGCTAACCTAAATCATTCCCACTGATTCTGTCAATATCCTCTTGTTCTGACGTTACTGGTGTTTTAGTTATCTAATGCTGCTGTAACAGAAACACCACAAGTGGATGGCTTTAATAAGAAAGTTATTCTCTCACAGTTAGGAAGCTAGAAGTCTGAATTCAGGGCATGAGCTCCAGGGGAAGGCTTTCTCTCTCTGTTGGCTCTGGGGGAATGTCCTTGTCTCCTTTCAACATCCGTGGATCTTTGGAGATATCCATGTGTTTTGGCATCAATCTTTCCCAGAGTCTAGGAGGTTTCTAGGTTCTTTCTTGGTGGTAGTGAGGTCCCTCTCCTCTCTGCTCACTTCTCTCTCCTTTTATCTCTTGTAAGATAAAAGATGTGACTCAAGCAAGCGTGTGACTTGAGTAAGGGTGTGACTTAAGTAAGGATGTGACTCAAGATACACCACACACTGATCCTGCCTCATTAACATATAGAGGTTAGGATTTACAACACATCACAATGTGGAGGATAATTCCATCAGATCACAAAATGAAGGACAACCACAAGGCCTAGCCAAGTTGACACATTTTGGGGGAAGCAGAATTCAATCCGTAACATTCCACCCTTTGATCCCCAAAATTCATTTCCTTGCCACATGCAAAATACATTCACCCCATCACATCATCCCAAAAGTCTTAAGTCAACTCCAAGTCCAAAATCTCATCATCTGAATCATTTAAATCAAACACGAGTGAGATGTTAGGCATATTTCATCCTGGGGCAAAATTCCTCTTCATCTGAGAACCTGTGACATCTACAATATAGGTTATCTGCTTCCAAAATACAATGGTGGAACAGGTACAAAGTATACATTTCCATTACAAATGGGAGAAATTTGAGGGAAAGAAGGGATAAGAGGCACTAAGCAAGCCCCAAACCCAGCAGAACAATTTACATTAGTTCCCAAGGCTTAAAAATAATCCTCTGTTCTCTGAGATCATCTAGGCAATGGCCCCATCCCCCAGACTCTGGGTGTTGGCCATGCTCTCCAGATTCTAGGTGAAGGCCCCTCGGCCCTGGGCTTCCGCTCTGCCTTCCAGGCCCACTGGGATGACAACTCTGCTCCCTAGGCTTTGGCTGGCCCCATTCACCTAGTCCATCTGAGTGGTGACTCCACCCCCTCAGCCTCGACAGGCCCCATTCTTCTGCCTCTTGGTCATGGTAGCCCTGCCCCCTCTGCTTTGGGTGGCAGCCCCATTCCTCTGGCACACCTTAACAGCAGCCCCACACTCCAGAACTGACCTGGTGAAAATCCAACTCTTTGAAACAGAGGAGGCTGTGGCCTCACCCTTTAAAACCCCAGTGGCCATGGCCTCACCCTCTGAGACAGGCAGCTCTGCTCCTCCCAACAGTTATGCTGATCTCTGAGCTGCTCCAGGGAAGGTTCTTGTCTTTTCTTGGAGGACAATAGATATAGCTCCTTTGGCCTGTTTCCTGCCTGTAGAGTTTAGAGAGGCAGACAGCTTTCTCTCCTTTCATTTTTTCTCTGACCCCTTCAGTTTAAGCTGGTGGGTTTTCTGCTGTTGTAGTTGATTAGATCTATCATTCACAAGATTAATCTCTTTAACAAAAATTTGTGTAGCTACATCCTTGGTGAACATTCTAGGACATATTTTCATAGTTTGTACAACATAATTTTTTAAATCTTTTAAGTTTTGTTTTCATTTTGCACAGTTCACTTTTAAGTCCATCTCTTTCCTCTCACATTTTACTATTAAGTGGCAAGGAGAAACCACATGGCCCCTTTAAGATCTGACTTAGAAATCTTATCAGCCAAATATTCAAGTTCATCACTTACAAGTTTAACCATTCACCAAACTTTTGAACATAATTCAGACAATTTCTTTGCCACTGCATACAAAGCGTTGCCCTTCCTCCATTGTCCAATAACATGTTCATTATTTCCTTTTAAAGCTTCACCAGAAGCACTTTAACATTCACATTTCTA